CCCCCCCCCCCCCCCCGAGGTTGGCAACCTGACCAAAACCACACAATTCCAAGGCTGCTTTCCTGGCAAGTCTTTATTTGTGTTTAAACTTAAGTTCGGCTTTGTTACGTATATTTCTCTGCCATTTATAGGTTGTCTCTTGGATGTTGCCAGATAGGGACGAAAGCAACGGTCAGATACTTCATATACTGAAGACTGGCTTGGCAGTGGTGTAATGTATTTAATAAGCTGCCATTGAATGCATAATGTGTGATGAAAACATCTAATTGAAATGTCATGTTAAGCTTCGTCCTGGGCTAGGATCCAAATCCATCCAATCGCATTGATAGCCCAGGAAGAACCAACCAATCACTTGTCAGCAAGCTCCCTGAGCGGGAACGTCCATGATTGGTCCTTATGCATACAACCTTATTGGTTGGTAATTGTACAGTAGGCGTGGCTACATTAGCCGGGAGAGTTTAAAAGCAGGACAGCTGCAATGTAAAAGCTGTTCTGGCTATCAGATGTTGATCCGTGTTGGAGTTGTGTTCGAGTTGATGAATAAAGCTGAATATTTGCTTAATCACTCTCCGACTACTTTGTTAAGCGAGCGACTTAACAGGTGGGGAGGACATAGGGCTGCCAGTTCCCAGATGGCACCTGGAGATCTCCCACTATTAGAACTGATCTCCAGATGATCAAGATTAGTCTGTCCCCCCCCCCCGGAGAAAATGGCTGCTTTGGAGGGTGGACTCTAATGGCATGGAACCCTGCTGAGTTCCCTCCCCTCCCCAGACCCCTCCCTCCCTAGGCTCCGCCCCCAAAATCTCCAGGTATTTCCTAATCCAGAGCTGGCAACCCTAGTTAGGGCATGGGAAGGACGGCACCTATCCTATCACTCCATGGAACAAAATTTGAAGCCTCCCTCCCAAAAGAAGTGTCTCTTCTGTTGAAGGAAGACCCAGTTCAGTTGTAGGAAGGTTCCTGAGCTTTGAGGAACTTAGAGTCATAGAATCATAAAGTTGGAAGGGACCTACAGGGTCATCTAGTCCAACCCCCTGCACAATGCAGGAAATTCACAAATACCTCCCCCCCCACCCAGTGACTGCTGTTCCATGCCCAGAAGTTGACAAAAACCCTCCAGGATCTCCAGCCAAACTGGCCTGGAGAAAAAATTGCTTCCTGGCCCCAAAGTGGCGATCAGCATTTCCCTGGGCGTGTAAGAAAGGGCCACGAGAACTAAGCACTGAGGCAACCCTTCCTGCCCTCCCTCTCATGATCTGCCCCAGTTCACAGAATCAGCATTGATGTCAGATGGTCATGTAGCCTCTGTTTGAAAACCTCCACAGAAGGAGAGCTCACCACTTCCCGAGGAAGCCTGTTCCACTGAGGAACCACTCTGTCAGGAACATAAGAACATAAGAACATAAGAGATGCCAATGTTGGATCAGGCCAAAGGCCCATCCAGTCCAACACTCTGTGTCACACAGCGGCCAGAAATACCAGTGCCATCAGGAGGTCCACCAGTGGGGCCAGGACATTAGACGTTCTTCCTAATGGTTTTAATTTAATTTCAACTCGTTGGTTCTAGTCTGACCTTCTGGGGCAACAGAAAACAACTCTGTACCATCCTCTATCTGACAGCCCTTCAAGTACTTGAAGAGGGTTATCATATCACCTCTCAGTCATCTCCTCTCCTGGCTAAACATACCCAGCTCCTTCAACCTTTCCTCTTAAGACTTGGTCTCCAGACCCCTCACCATCTTCATTGCTCTCCTCTGGACGTGTTCCAGCTTGTCTATATCCTTCTTGAATTGTGCTGCCCAAAACTGAACACAATACTCTAGATGAGGTCTAACCAGAGCAGAGTAAAGTGATACCATCAGTTTACATGATCTGAACACTATACTTCTGTTGATACAGCCCAGAATCACATTTGCATTTTTAGCTACCGCATCACACTGCCGACTCATGTTCAGTGTATGTTCTACTAAGACCCGTAGATCCTTTTTGCACCTACTACTGCCAAGACAAGCCTTCCCCATCCTATAATTATGCATTTGGTTTTTCCTACCTAAATGCAGAACTTTACATTTGTCCCCATTGAAATTCATTTTATTTGTTTTAGCCCAGTATTCCAGCCTGTCAAGATCATCCTGTATCCTGACTCCATCTTCTACCGTATTTGCTACCCCTCCCACTTTAGTGTCATCTGCAAATTTAATAAGCATTCCCTCTATTCCTTCATCCTGCATAACACAGGGTGCCAGTCTGCTTCCATTTGTATGGAGAAAATCTCTTCTGAAGATGGCAGTATTTCATGCTTAATGAATAGCCACTTGCTTGCAATAGGTGTGATTTGCTAGCAGGCAACGTGGAAGCTTTAAATTATCTGGTTCTATTCCCCCCCCCCCCGGCTAATATAGCTACGGTTAGGCAGGCAGGCTAGTAAACATTTTTACGGTCTAGTAACTTTGTGGATTTATTTGCAAGGCTGCGCTAATTAAGGTTCTTACACTGTGCAAGTACAAATGTTACGAGCGTTTTCTAGATGGAGAAACTGCGCGGCTTATTTCCAGGAACTCCAGACACACACACGCTCTGTGACAGATTTTGGCCTGAGGTCTGAGGCTTAGCCACACCAAATAACACTATCATTCTTGACGGTAAATCCCCAACCATCCTACTAGTCTAGCAGTAACTGAAAGGGGAGCTTTTGGTCTCTGTGTCTATTTTCTTGCATTTAGAACGACTCTGCTTGTTAAGAGAGTTTCAGATGATACAGCTCCACCTGGTGGCCACGTAATAATCTCCCAGCACAGTTGCTGCATCCACCTGGGGAACCAGTTGTCTTTAGACTGGCCAGGAAACGAAGAGCCTGCCTTTACTACCCCCTTGATAGCACTCACAAGGTCGTGGTAAGGTTGGCTTCATTTCATTGCCATCCGGAGCGGCCATCTGGTGAGGTGCTGTCTGGTACTCCACTTTTAGGGAGAGTGAAATACGGTTTTCAGTTTAGTGGCGGGATGCTTTAAAAGCAGAGCAAAATGGTCTGTTGTCGTCCCCCCCGGGCCCAGCAGTAAACATCTTACGTTAATATTTCCATACGATGTTGATGTTGAAAACCTGGAACAAACGAGGAACAGTCAGTTTTCAGCTCATACATGCTGAAAAACTGAGCCTCTTGTAAGATATATTAAAAAGTCAGAGGGGAAAGGAGTTAACTTAAGCAAAGGTGGTGAGAATCTAAGTGTATGGCTTTTATTAGTCTTTGGGTTGTGTTTGATAACAGGCCTTTAGAAACAGAAGGGCATTGCTGAGAAACTGAACTTAAAACAAAAACCTGTACTGGCAAAGTCAGCAACGGATATACGGACCTGCCCTATCCAGTGCTCCCTCTAAGCTGTGGAGTCCTGTGAGCAAAAATTCTACTTTGTGAGCCACTGGCATTAAAGTTGTGAGCAATGCTCCCTCTAAGCTGTGGAGTCCTGTGAGCAAAAATTCTACTTTGTGAGCCACTGGCATTAAAGTGGCGAGTGAGTGACTTGGCTACTGCGGAAATTAATTTGCTCTGGAGCCCTCCTTCCTGAGCTAAGACAAAAATGTGTGAGCTGGAGGCTAAAAAAACTGTGAGCTAGCTCACACTAACTCAGCTTAGAGGGAACATTGGTTGTGAGCGAGCGATTTGGCTACTGCATAAATCAGTTTGCTCTGGAGCCATCCTTCCTGAGGCTTTTGATTGAGGTGGCGGGCGCCCCATCGTTGTGGCCGACCCCACCAGTGGCCTGGATAGGGTTGCCAAGTCTATCTTTGCTGGGAGCGAGGGGCTCCCGGCCGGCGTCTTGTGCGCACAATTCTCTTGCAATTAGGGTTGCCAAGTGGCACTTAGCTTGCCGGCGGGGGACTCCCGGTTGGATCCTGGCGTGTGCGCGCTGCACACACGTCACCAGGAAGTGACGTTATGACGCCTGGCACGCTGGGGGCGGGGCCATGACCATACAAGGGAAAACCATAGAGTTTTCCCTTGTATGGCCGTGGCCCCACCCCCGGCGGGCCCGCGTCACTTCCTGGTGATGCGCACGTTGGGGAGGAGTTCCCCCTGGGGCCCGATCTGGTGGCGCCGGGGAACGGGCCACTGGGGTGGGGTTGCCCCGCCCCCCGGGGGGACTTGGGATCCCTAGGCCTGGATCCTAACATCTTAAAATCTTCCACCACTGTTGATACAGTTCTATTAGAGCTAACATGGTACTTAGGAGTATGGTATTTTATATTGCTGTTTTAATCTGGTTTTAACTGTATTGTATTTGACACTGTTGCTACCCTCCCTGAGCCCGCCCATGGGGAGGGTGAGATATAAATCAAAATAAATAAATAAATATATTTTGCAACAGACCGGTTGAAATGTTTAATAAAAATGGGGAGGCCGGGGAAGGAGGTCACGTGTTCTGTCTCAATCAAGTTTGTGTTTCGATTTCAGAGTTCCGAGGAAGATTCGCGGTGGGTGGAGGACCTCTTGAAGATGCACACGGCTCGAGTACGCGACATTGAGCTGCTGACAGGCATGAACTTTTACCGGAAGACCAGCCGGAGCTACTCAGAAGTGCTTTCTTTAAAGACATATCTGCACACGTTCGAAAGCGAAATCTAACCTCCTTTCGTGAATTTGGCACATCCTCTCCTCAAGTGGTGTATATTTTTATATTGTATTTATTAATTTGAAACAGGACGTTAAAATTATTAGTGTGTTTTAATCTCTCGCACCAGATCTTAAAACGTTTAAAGTCTTGTGTCAGTCGTTTTCCGTTTTTGATTCCTTTAACGGAGGGTGTGTCTTCGGGTCCGTTTTAATAGGCAGAAATCTCTCTCCTGTTTTTTTTTGTAGTGCTGAGGCGCTTGAGTGTTTTTGATCGAAGCTTTCAGAAGCATTGATATCCACATTCCGAAAACATTAATTCCCGCCCCCCCAGCACTCCCTTGTCTGGTTTTTTAGTCCCGAACTGTGTATCAAACATGTAAAATGACAATTACTATTAATTATGTGATAGACATATTTAAGCTCCATAGAGAATAGAAATCTAAATACAATAAAACCACACATTCAGTTTTTTTCACTTTGTGTTTCTTTCTTGGACAGCATTTGGGTGTCAAAAACCTTCCCTTCCCCCCCCCCCGGCATTTCTAGCTTGTTCCTTATGGTCTGCAAACAGGGCAGCAGTACATAAGATGATCGGACTGTCTAGGCCAGCATCCTGTTCCCTTTTCCCTTAGAGAGCCAGTGTGGTGTGATGCCTAAGACTAGGATCTGAGAAATCCAGGTTTGAATCCCCACTCGTGCCATGGAAACTTGCTGGGTGACCTTGGGCCAGTCACAGGGTTGTTGTGAGGATAAAATGGAGGAGAACAGAACAATGTCAGCTGCTTGTGGTCAAGAAAGGGAGGGTATAAATAAATAAAATAAATGACTAAATCAATAATCGGACAAGCTTTCAGGAAGCCCACCCACAGGACTTCTGACTAGTACAATCATCCCCCCCACGCACACACCGGTGATCTCTGGGCTAAACATACCCAGTTCTTGCCGTCTTCTGTGTAGGGCTTGTTTTCCATTCCCATTACTATCTTTGCTATTCTCCTTTGAACCTGTTTCAAAATGTCTATATCCCTCTTGCCTTGATCTGGATAGCCCAGACTAGCCCAGTCCTGTCAGATCTCGGAAGCTAAGCAGGCCAGTAGCCAGGATTTTGTGGCTTGTGGGGCGAATTTGAGAGCCAGTTTGGTGCAGTGGTTAAGTGCGTGGACTCTAACCTGGGAGAACCGGGTTTGATTCCACTCCTCCACTTGCACCTGCTGATGTGACCTTGGGTCAGTCACAAGCTCTGGCACAGCTGTCCTTGAAAAAGAGCAGTTCCTGCCAGAGCTCTCTCAGCCCCACCCACCTCACAAGGTGTCTGTTGTGGGGAGGGGAAGGGAAAGGAGTTTGTAAGCCGCTCTGAGACTCCAAGTGAAGGGCGGGGTATAAATCCAATCTCTTCTTCTTCTTCTTCCCGGTGGGGCTGAACTTTGCAGTGCAGAAAGAAAAGCCATTTAGCCAATAAAGAGCTGTTACCAGGATTTATTCATTTATTTGCTTTCAATTTGTATCCCGCCTTACCGGTATGAACTGGCTCAAGGCGGCTTACGCAGTTAAAATACAATAAAACCAATAAATACACTAAAATTACAATAAGAACAATTACATAAAGTGCTGCTATAAACAGATGGCGGGAATTTCTGAACATGGTCCGATGGGGAAAGGCCATATCCGGCGTTGTTTCATAGGGCTTTGAGATGTTTGATGTACAAAGGCTGTCAGTGGCGGCTCCTAATCGAAGGCCTGGTGGAAGAGCTCCGTTTTACAGGCCCTGCGGAACTGTAAAAGATCCCGCAGGGCCCTGATGTCCTCCGGGAGCTCATTCCACCAGTGTGGAGCTGCCACTGAGAAAGCCCTTGCCCTCGTAATGGCCAATCTGGCATCTTTCGGGCCACGTAGGGTCAGGCAGTTTTGTGACCCTGACCTCAGCAACTGCCCTAACTATATACACCTAAGCCCCTCCCAGCCCCCATGCAATTGGTGAATGCAAATGGCCTCCAAGATCCAGATTGGCTGGTTGCCCTCTGGGGCCAATCCGCAGGCAGGTTCCAGGATCCTGCCTGCCTTTGCTCCGGGGCTTCAAGCTCCAGCTAGGTGGCCTGCCAGACAAGTCCAGGCAACGCCTCCTTATGCTGGCTACAAGCACCCGCAGCAGTTAAGCCTGAGTGGAAGATTGCACAAGTCCAGACATAACAGCAATCCTCACAAGTGGTGCTGCTGGCTCAGCCCTTTCCCTCCAGTCTTCTGCTGCCTCACTTCCTTTGGATCATCAGACCACTAGGGTTGCCAGTCTCCAGGTGGGTCTAGTAACAAATAAATATACTCTCCTAACACTGCAGCTCGGGTTGCTTCAGTCTCCAGGTGGGGCCTGGAGAGAGTGGGCAGGGAGATGATACTAGAACCCAGGTCATCCACTGATGCTGAAAGGTAGGAGAGACAGGGCAGACGACAGGAAGTACGTTCTCACACAGCATTTGTGGAACTCACGGCTGCTAGAGGTGGTCAGGGCCACCAACTGGGAAGGCTTTAAAAGGGGAATGGACAAATTCATGGAGGACTGGGCTATAAGAACATCAGAGAAGCCAACGTTGGATCAGGCCAATGGCTCATCCAGTCCAACACTCTGGCACACAGAGGCCAAAAATACCAGGTGCCATCAGGAGGTCCATTAGTGGGGCCAGGACATTAGAAGCCCTCCCACTGCCCCCCCCCAAGCACCAAGAATACAGAGCATCACTTGCCCCAGACAGAGTTCCTATCTAGACCTTGTGGCTAATAGCCACTGATGTATCTCTGCTCCATATGTCTATCAGTGGCTACTCAACATGATGGATGTCTACTCCCTCTGGTACCAGAGGTAGAATGCCGCTTTAAACCAGTTGCTGGGAAATGCAGGCGGGGTGATGCTGTTGCAGTCTTCCTGTTTGTGGGCTCCCTCGAGGTAGCTGCTTGGCCACTGTGTGGACAGATTCCAAAAGGGATCTTCCCTACCCGGTTGCAAGACTCCTTGTTTAATCAATCACAGCTCTTTTCTAACCAATGAACTCCTGGTTTACAAGTTTGGGTAAGAGCATTCACTCAAAATCTACATATTACAAAAGTTAAGAACAAAGATTTAAAACATATATCAGAGTGTGTAGCAAAGTAATTTTGTCACAGTTGCATAAACAACAAAAAAAGGGGTGACATTGATGTTCTAGGCATTATCACTGTATAAGGAAATTCTCTGGTTTTAGAACCAAGGGACAGTGATGTCACCAAGCTAAAATTAAGCCTTTTTCTTGGAAATTAACGAATGACTTCCCACTTCAGCCAGGACAAGTTGCTGTAAAGGTAAAGGTTCCCTTGCTCGAAAGCCAGTCGAATCCGACTCTAGGGTTGCGGTGCTCATCTCCGTTTCAAAGCCGAAGAGCCAGCACTGTCCGAAGACGTTTCCATGGTCATGTGACCGGCATGACTAAACACCAAGGCGCACGGAACGCTGTTACCTTCCCACTGAAGTGGTACCTATTTATCTACCTGCAATTTCTTGCTTTCGAACTGCTAGGTTGGCAGGAGCCGGAACTAGAGACGGGAGCTCACTGCGTCATGTGGCACCTGGGTAGTTCCAGCCAAAAAATATGTGGGTTAGGTAGCCGTTTTCTAAGATCTTTCTGGAAGTCAAAGCTGCCATCTGGCCAACGAATGGCAAAGGCAGATCTTCCCTCTGAACTATCTTCCCATGTTGTTAAAGGTAATTTTTTTTTATTCGCATACCTCTGCTTTATTATTTAGGCATTTCCTTCTTATTAACACCATTCCAGACGTTTAATCGTCATTGTTAAGTTCCGCAACTTCCTAAACCTGCAAGAACCATCTGCCGCGTCTCTTTTTATTGTCATCCTCTCGTAAGCGGTGTGCATCAACCCGTGGCTGAACTTTGTTGAACTTTAACGGGGTGATATCTCGGAGTCTGGTTTTCGGATGGAACTCCTGTCGTCCTGACTAGCTGGGCGATGCATCACTTTCTGAGGAAGTGGTACAGTCTGCCTGTAATCAAGGAAGTCTTGGGACATGACGTGGACTTCACAGTAGGGGCAACACACCCTAAGCGGGTCTGTATCTGATCAGGACATGAACGGGCGATTGTCTGAGCCACAGGGTTGCCAGCAATGCTCCCACTAAGCTGTGGAGTCTTGTGAGCAAAATTCTACTTTGTGAGCCCACTGGCATTAAAGTGAGCGAGCGATCTGGCTACTGCATTAATCAGTCTGCTCCAGAGCCCTCCTTCCTGAGCAAAGACAAAAATGGGTGAGCCGGAGGCTAAAAAACTGTGAGCTAGCTCACACTAACTCAGAGGGAACACTGGTTGCCAGCCTCCAGGTGGTCGCTGGAGATCTCCTACTCTAACAACTGATCTGCAGGAGAGGGAGCTCAGTTCACCTGGAAAAAGAATTGCCACTTTGGAAGGTTGGCTCTATGGCATTATATGTTGCTGAAGTCCCTTTCCTCCCCAAACTCTGGCCTCCTCAGGCTCCACCCCTGTATTCTCCAGGTATTTCCCAACCTGGAGCTGGCAACCCTACTGAGGAACCTTAACGTGTGCTGCCTTGATTAGTTCCACAGAGAAAAGCTGGGATCGAAATGAAAGAAATAAAGATATTGTTATAGATCTATGAACGGCAGGTCTGCAACTTTCATCCAGGATATGACCTCATAACCTGTCTAGCCCCAGTTTTGGCTCCTTCCACATGAATTTGTTAAACCATAAACATTTAAATATGGCCCCAAGTGTCCTTGAAAACAGATGTTATCATACAAACACAATAATCAGAAAGTCAGGAGCGGTTGCACTTGGTGGCACACCCAAGCTTACTCCCATGTAATGTGTAAAACGACTGAAAGAAGGCAAGCCAGAACAGAGTGTAATTAGAAGAGGAGGAGGAGATTGGATTTATACCCCGCCCTTCACTCGGAGTCTCAGAGTGGCTTACAATCTCCTTTCCCTCCCCCTCCCCACAACAGACACCCTGTGAGGTAGGTGGGGCTGAGAAAGCTCTTTCGAGAACGACTCACGAGAGAACAGCTCTGAGAGAACTGTGACTGACCCAAGGTCACACTAGCAGCTGCATGTGGAGGAGTGGGGAAACAAACCTGGGAAACTCCTGGAGATTTGGGGGGGGTGGCAGCTGAGGAGGGCAGAGAGCTCAGCGGAGTATAACGACAAAGACTCCCTCCTCCAAAGCAGCCATCTTCTCCAGGGGGACTGATCTCAGAAGTCTGGAGATCAGCTCCAGTTCCAGAAACCTCCAGGCCCCACCTGGAGGCCAGCAGGCCTGGGTATAATTTAGCGGCACAGTGAAGGATTGGCCTTTCTGAAGTCCCAGCTCCGTTATTAAACAAACTCGTTCAGTCTATCTCTTTTATAGGGTGAAGAGCAAATATTCTTAATTTCTGAGGACATTCAGCGGTCTGGCAAAA